CTCCCCCGTTCATGCTCTGTCTCTCTCTGTCCCAAAAATAAAACGTTGAAAAAAAAAAAAACTTTTTTTAATGTTTATTTATTTCTGAGACAGGGACAGACAGAGCAGGAGTATCGGAGGGGCAGAAAGAGAGGGAGACACAGAATCTGAAGCAGGCTCCAGGCTCCGAGCTGTCAGCACAGAGCCGGACGTGGGGTTTGAACTCACCGCGAGATCATGACCCGGGCTGAAATCGGACGCTTAACCGACTGAGCCACCCAGGCGCCCCGGTTTGTTTTTTTAATTGAACAAGAAGCAAGACTTAGTCTGGAAGCTTCAAGCCCTGGCGCAGAATTGCAGCTCGAGGGTGCTTTGGGGTCTCAAATCGTCCTCCGGGACACAGCCTCAAGCAAGCAGCCTCTGGCCTGGAGAGCTTCTCTCTGGAAGAAATGGACCCATCCGTGAGGTGTGGCAGCGGGCAGGACTCCTGGGAACTGTTGGCTGTCAGCTGGCTGCTGCTAGGTGTCTCCAGGCCTGGAGCCCTGCGCAAGGCACTGAACAGCACATCAGATCCCATCCAATTACCACCTGGTTTACAGTAAATACGCCTCCAGGCCCAGGGGCCCCAAAGCCAGGTGCCCAGGAGCCAGCAGGCTTTTGGGAGAGACTCTGTTTCCTCCTCCCTCCCCTCCCCTTCCTGCCTCCTTCCCCTTCCCTCCCCTACTCCGAGGATAGGCTTGAAGCTAACACGATTTGGGAAAGGCCAGCCTCTTAAAGAAAAAAAAAAAAGCGCAAAATTATGAAATAAAATTTCACTACGGGACTTCAAAAGGAGTCCATGCAAGTGAGGGGCTTAACCTTCACAAGCTTTGTGGTAGATGCACCTTTAATCTTGATTTCGGTTTCCATCATTTCCATGAATTTCCTGTTTTTGTTACATATGTACTCCTAAACGATATCAAGTGTCCTTTTACACATTTTTGAGCTTTCTATAAATGATATGCTCTATGGTATTTGTGTGGAAACCTGTTTTTTACTTGTTGGTTTTTTTTTTTTTAATTCAACATATTTGGGAAATGTATCCATGTTGATATGTATAGCTTTAGTTTCTATAAATTGCTATATACTATACCACGGTATGATTATCAGAACTTATCCATTCTGCTGTTGCCATTTTTTTTTTTGTAAAAAAAGCAGGCTGTACGACAAAAGTAGGTTGTAAAAAAAAAAAGGCAGGGCGTAAAACAAACATACACGCGGCAGAGCAAGTAAATCAGTATCATTTTTCGGTAAGACTCGAATAGAACTAGGTCAATAAAACATGATTCAGAAGGGGCGCCTGGGTGGCGCAGTCGGTTAAGCGTCCGACTTCAGCCAGGTCACGATCTCGCGGTCCGTGAGTTCGAGCCCCGCGTCAGGCTCTGGGCTGATGGCTCGGAGCCTGGAGCCTGTTTCCCATTCTGTGTCTCCCTCTCTCTCTGCCCCTCCCCCATTCATGCTCTGTCTCTCTCTGTCCCAAAAGTAAATAAAAAACGTTGAAAAAAAAAAACAAAAACATGATTCAGAAAAGAATCTAGGAACAATGCAGCAAGTTGGTGTATGATACAACACTTCAAGTCGCTGGGGAAAAGTAAACTATTTAATGAATGGTATCAAATCAGCATTTATATGTAGACAAAATAAATGAAAGCAAGTCTCTACCTTAGATGATGCACAAAATTATACTCTAGATGAATTAAAAACCTAAACCCTTGAAACGAAAGTTTTAAACTAGTAGGGGAAACAAGTAAGGGGAAATATCATTACACTCCAAGGAAAAGGGAGACCTTGAAGAGGCCATGGAAAGCAAAACTCAAACAGTAAAACGCTAAACAACTTGAGTTCTTGAGTAAATGTTACCTAACTTGTAAACGAGAAAAAGAACTGTGCACTTGGCCCCTAAACAACACAGATTTGAACGGCATGGGTCCCCTCATACATGATGTCTTACAGTATAGCACTATATGTGTATTTTCTTTTTCTTTTTTTTTTTAATGTTTATTTATTTTGAGAGAGAGAGAGACAGCATGAGCCAGGGGAAGGAGCCGAGAAAAAGAGAGAGAGAGAGAGAGAGAGAGAGCCCCAAGCAGGCTTTGTGCTGTCAGCACAGAGCCCAATGCCATGCTTGATCTCATGAACCGTGAGATCATGACTTGAGCTGAAATCAAGAGTTGGATGCTTTACTGACTGAGCCACCCAGGCGGCCCTGTATTTTCTTATTCTTGTGATTTTTCCTAACATTTTCTCTCTTCTCCGTAGCTTACTTTATTGTAAGAATGTAGTAACAATAAAACGTAAAATATGTGTTAATCAGCTGTTTACATTATCAGCAAGACTTCTGGTCACCCACAGGCTATGTATCAGTAGTTAAGTTTTGGGGGATTCAGACTATATGCAGATTTTCTACTGGGGACAGAGGAAGTCCTCACTCCTAAGCCCTGAGTTGTTCAAAGCTCCAATATATAACAAAAGATACCCCAAACAATATTAAAGGCAAGCCAGAGGCTGAGAAAATTTGCAATACATGCAACAAAGAATGAGTATAACAGATATATTAAAAACAAAAAAAACCCAACCTTTAGAAAGATGAGCAAAGGATATGAATACACAATTCACATAAGAGGAAATATGAATAGCTACAAACCTATAAGACACTCAAACAGTTTTTGTCAGGCAAATACTAATTAAAACAGTGAAGAGACAGTGGTTTACGCCTACTACAACTGGCCACATTGACAGGTCTGGAGGCCAAAGCGTCACTGAGACTGCTGAGACACTTCATATGACCCACAGCCACTTTGGAGGCAACGTGGGCATAGTCTCAGATCCAGAATTTCCCCTTGTAGAAATTTAAAATAGAGAGATGTGGGAAAAAATATATAAGACATTTATTGCAACATTGTTTGAGGTAGTGAAAAATTGTTAACAATCCTAAGGGTCCACTAAAAGCGGAGAGGATGATTAAATATGGTATATCCATACAATGGAATACCACTCAGCAGTTGAAAGAAATTAGTTTGGTTCATAAATTAACGCGGTTAGATTTCCAAAACATTGATAAGTTGCAATAGATGATTGCTAAGTTGCACAGTATGATGCCTCTTATGTAAAAATAATCCACAAAATATGTTATATATAATTATAAAACTCTGGAAGGAAACACACCAAACTCCCAAAAGTGGCTGGTCACTTAGATAGAGAGAAAGGCCTGGGATTATGAGATGTGGTCAATGGATGATTTGGTTTAATATATGATATTCTGGTTTTCTTTAAAAGATGCCTGCATTTATGTATCTCTTGTTAGATTAAAAATAAAAGATTGGGGGGTGGGTGCCTGGGTGGCTCAGTCAGTTAAATGACAGACTCCTGATTTCAGCTCAGGTCATGATCTCACAGTTGTGAGATCGAGCCATGCTTCAGGCTCCTAGCTGGGCATGAAGACTTCTTATGATCCCCTCTTTTTCCCTTTCCCTCTGTGCCTCCCCCCTCTCTCTCAAAAAAAAAAAATAAAGATTAAATTAAATTAAAAGATTGGAAGGATTCATGTTTGCAGTCCTAACTCTTAGAATGAAACTATAAGTGATTTTTACTTCTTTTTTTTTTCTTATCTGTATTTTCTAAAATTTCCACAATGTTGATGTATCACATTTGTGATAAGAATACAGTCATTTTTTATTTTTACAAAAAAAAAAAATTTAAGTAATCTCTATATCCAACATGGGGCTCAAACTCACAACCCCGAGGTCAAGAGTCACATGCTCTACCAACTGAGCCAGCCAGGCACCCCAAATACAGTTATTTTTTCAAAGATTGATGAAAGTTTCAAAAATTCTTAAAAAGTTAGTTTTAGGTTACCTGTATTTTTTTTTTTAATTTTTAAATGTTTTATTTGTGAAAGAGACAGACCGAGTGTGAGCGGGGGAGGGGCAGAGAGAGAGGGAGACACAGAATCTGAAGCAGGCTCCAGGTTCTGAGCTGTCAGCACAGAGCCCGACGTGGGCCTCGAACTCATGGACTGTGAGATTATGGCCTGAGCCGAAGTCGGACGCTTAACTGACTGAGCCACCCAGGCGCCCCAGGTTACCTTTAAATATAAACCTCCTCCCCCAGACTTAGACACACAGCACTGTGTTTGGGAAGGATGGCAGGTTTTATCACAAAATTAGAAAAATCCCAAAGTTTGGAAGTATAGCAAAAGGTTCTAGGATTCATTTAGCCAAGCCTGGTTCAAGAGATTCTAGGCAAATGGCTCTTGCATTCTACTCACCAATGTTCTGTTACCCAGCACACTGCAAGGACTTGACTTGACTTACAACTTACTGACAATAAATATTTAACTACAGTTAAACATAGCTACTTTCTGGGAGTGAGTTTTCTCAGATGGCTGAGGGCATATCCTTTTAATGTCTTTTACATTTTTTTTTTGTATTGTAATGAGTTGGAGTAGAACTGTTTCTAGAATATTTTATCTACTTCTCTGCCTTTTTAAATAGAACACAGAACATCTAGTTATAGCTTTCCCAGTGTTGCCATTTCCCAAGACTGCTGCGAGTTACCCTGTCAGTTTTCTGTCTATAGCACCCTCTTTCCTTCTAATCCACCATGAATTTAGAAGTTAACTTCTTGGAGTTCTTTGTAAAATAATCAGCCTAAGAGGCTCACGCTAAGAGGATTCCCTAAAATAAAAGAATGCACCAACTTTATGCCATCTTTTTAACTGAAATTAATTTTAGTTTTATTTTATTTTATCTTGTTTTGTTTTTTACTTCCTTCTGGTTTTCAGGGGTGTTCTCAAGTGATGGCTTAAGTCTCGAAGGTGGGACAGGTGGAGAGAAAAGAACAGTGTCACTCATTGCCAGGGTGATCTCCATCAAGGGCAAAGGTTTTGCTATTGGCACAGGGTTCTTGCCACAGAAATGAGAGGCCAAAAGATGAAATGTCTAAAAAGCCCTACACTGAGACCGAAACCGGAGTCACACAGCATCTGCTGTAAGAGTCTGTGGTTGGTGCAAGAATTTCCCAAGATACAGCAAGTGATCATTAATGACGTCTTTGTCAGAAACAACCTGAAGCAGCCGAGAAAGCTGGGAGCTGGGAGGTGGTGCGGGGGGCAGAACTATAATCTCAGGCCTCCTTTGGGCAAAATCGGCAGGGGGAAGGTGAGAGAACATAAAGCAGGGCCACCACGCTCAAGTATCACAGATCGAGACCTTTCTTAACGTGTGGGTCTCTGCGCTTTGCTCTTTCTTCTTCATGCTGCTGTGACCCAGAGGGCTGGTGACTCACCACTAGATCCCGACCCTCTGAGTGCAGGCAGTTATGGCTCATTAGATGTTAACTGCACTGGTGGTGAGCAGATCTAATAAAACCACGTAAGAGAAAGTGCCCGGTGCCTTTCAGG